TTACTGATGGATGATCCAATCTGGTCGCTCAGAGGGAGCTGAAGGTCTCTGAACCGTTCAACCAGACCCCCTCAGGTGAAACCAGGCACGACAGGCTGGGACCAGCTGGGGCCACACAGGGGTGACAGCACAGCCCTGGCTGTGTTCTGTCAGTGTTGTCTCACTGTTTGCACCACAATTCACCCCCTTCAATGCCCCAGTACCCTCACCACTGTTCCCCCTGCTCTGCCACCCCAAGGGTGGGCAGGACCGACCTGGCCCTTTAGCAGAGCTGATGTATCCCCACCCAAACAAGCCTTGCCCAGTGATCCTGGGCTCAGCTCATCCCTTCCAGAGCGCAGTGATCCAGGTCCCGCTGCCTTTCCACAGCCCTACATTTCAAGTCCCACCATGATGTGATCAGCGTATCTAATTCCATCTACTTTAATATCTGCAGTGTAAAGCTCTAATCTTTCACCCCAATCACTCCAATCTTCACCACACTTTAGCAAGCAACAGAAAACAATCTTCTCTCTATATCCAGCCACCAACAGCCCCGTAATATTTCAATCCAAAATGATAATTTGGTAAGGAGGAATGACTTCAAACAAACCCTAACACCTTAATAAATCTGCAGTTACGCCTAATGTTCTGCACTGAGCTGTGAAGAGCTTGATTCCTTTGCTGCTGCAGAAAACACAAACATCTTAAGTCATGTCTCAGAAAAAACAAGACTCATCCTTTAAAAAAAACAACAGGGATCTGGAAATCAAACAATACAAAGTAAAAATAACCACTGTTATTTTTAAAGGCTAAAAACCAAGAGAAATAGTCCAAGATTTAACTCCTGACATCACCTCACCTTTTCAGTCTATCAGGAGAACCAGAATGTCAGAATGGAATAGTAGAACCATAATTATCAGAATAATACATAAGGAGAAGGCAGCAACCTAAATCCAGATCAGACCTTGTGCCTCTTGAGACCACCAGACAGTCTCTGAAGGTGTTTTTCCTCACTGGCAGAGTCACTGTAGGGTGAAAATGCTGCCAATGGAATCCCAGGATCACTGAGGTTGGAAAAGGTCACTCAGTCCCTCCTGTGCCCGATGCCCCCCTTGTCCCCAGCCCAGAGCACTGAGTGCCACATCCACACTCCTGGGACACCTCCAGGGCTGGGCACTCCAAACCTCCCTGGGCAGCCCCTGCCAGGGCCTGAACACCCTTTCCAGGAGAAATTCCTGCTGCTGTCCCCCCTGCCCCTCCCCTGGCACAGCTGAGGCCATTCCCTCTCCTCCTGTCCCTGTTCCCTGGGAGCAGAGCCCGACCCCCCCCGGCTCTCCCCTCCTGTCAGAGAGCTGAAACTGCCTGATGGAGGGACCCCCTCCATGGACAGAAGTTGGGAACAAAGTCCCTGTCTCTGACCTGTCAGAGGGAAATTTGCTGCCGAACTGCAGAAAGAGCAAATAGAGCAAATCCCCTGGAGACACCTCGACTGCCCCTTCGGGGGTGGGTCTGTGCCAAGAGGGGGCTCAGACTGGACATTCAACAATGAGGGTGGGCAGGCCCTGGCACAGGGTGCCCAGAGAAGCTGTGGCTGCCCCTGGAGCCCTGGGAGTGTCCCAGGCCAGGTTGGACGGGGCTTGGAGCACCCTGGGCTGGTGGAAGGTGTCCCTGCCCATGGCAGGGGGTGGGACCGGGTGAGCTCTGAGGTCTCTTCCAACCCAAACCATCCTATGATTTTATGAATCAGCAGGGTTAAGATGAGATATTGTTTATTCCCATTTGTATTAACCCCATTTCAAACCCAGCTGACACCAGGACCAAAGCAATGACTCCTCCTCCTTCACCACGCTCTGAACCAACAGCTACCCGACACTTTTGCCCTCTTTTCCCTCCTCCCTTTCCTCTGTGCTGCATTAGATAATCCAGCAATAGGACTTTTCCCTGCCTCCACTAAGACTTTTCCTTTGATTAAAACACCCTTGGTCAGCATTAAACTTGTATTACTGAGAAATGTCTGCCCCAGCCCCCTCCCAGAGCCCTCCCTGTGCATAACAGCATCCTCAGGGGATTACAGGGCCCAGACACCGAAACAATTCATTACACAAACTTCCTCCAGAAAAGCCTGAACCTGCCCTTCTCCCACTGTGAAATGAGAAAGACTGTTTTTCTTGTTCAAGGGCAGTAGAAAATGGACAGTTTGGTGCCGTGGAGCATCATTTCAGTTCTGCTCCAGCGCCTGCCCAGGCACTGTGGAGAGGCTGAGCCGCCTGCTCCTGCCAGAAACCCCTCCGAGCTGCCCGCGGGTGTGCCCAGCACAGCCCCAGCTCACAATCACATGCACACAACACACAGCACCTGCAGACAGCCCCCTGTGCCCCTCAGAGCTGCACTGGGCTCTGTCCGGGCAGGGGGACTGCGGTGGCACAGCACCTGCACGCAGGGCATCCACGCTGCAGGGATGGCACACACCTCGGAACCATCACCCCCTGCACCCTCACGCTCAGCTTCTCTCATAAAGCCACCCCTGAATCCTCCCCAGGGAAATCCAGCCGCCTTTTCCAGCTCTCCATCCCTAAGGTCCCTTCCAAGCCAAACCAGCCTGTGAGCTTTTGATCCTGTGACTGCCCTGGGAAATCTGGACACCCCAAAGGTGGGTGCTGAGCACCTTCTGTTGGGAACATCGTTCAGGATGATGCTCTTGGCCTTCAAGGTCTTGGAGTGCCCCCCATAGCAGCAGGGATGGTCCCAGCAATGTCCTGGCTGCAAAGGAGCTCGCTGTGGATGGGCTCCTGCTTTGAGCCAGCACACGTGTCCTTCCATGTCACTGGGCACTCAGAGCAGAGGGCATTCTGTGCCTCCTTTGCTGTTATCCCCTGGTCACCTTGCCCATGCCCCAGTGTCCCACAGGCGTGGATTCACGGAGCCAAACTTCACGGCGCAGATTTAGTCCCCTGAAGCTCTCAGTGTGACTTCACTGAGTCCCAGCAACCTTTCCCTCTCTTTTCCCAAACTCTCTCCTCCTTTTGCTTCCTCATCCAGTCCAAGCCTTTGACAGGAAGGCAAAGCTCGGACTAACAAGATCCCTGAAGATAAAGTGGTGCCCATGTGGGAACTTCCCTCCAGCATCCACTTCCACAGCTCGATCCTGCCTCCGAGGGGACCCTGAGTACCCACCATCTGTTCTGATCCAGCTCATTCTGTAAATGAATCATTTACACCATGGACTGGGACCTGCAGCCTCTTCTAATTGAACATTTAGGAAGCTTTTAAAAAAAAAAAAAAAAAAAAGAAAAGCAATATTCACTCTTTCAAGGCATCCCGGTCTTTAAACTTCCATGATTCAGCAGGAAATTACTGCCACAGCACAAGCCTTTTTCCCATCTTTTATTTCTTGGACAGATTTATTTGATAATCTGCTGTTTCCTTGACTGAAATATTCTGATTTTGCTTAAATGGAGTTATTGTTAGGGCTGGCTGGAGAAGGGAATCATTCCAGTGCTGTGACAATGATGTTCTTCCTTGCTTGTGTAAGGACAAACATATTGAATTACAGATAAAAAGCACTAATTGGGGAAGAACTAAAGATAAATTCAGCAAAACCAGCCCTGCAGCACAAGGAGTCGCCCAACCTACAGCACAATATTTTATTTCCCTTTTACTGGTGGCTGCACCGTGATCCACCTCGGGCTGACACTGATTTAGCCACATAATGAGCTCCCACAAATTTGTGTTTCAAAGGGAATCATTGCTGTGATTTGTCTCGCAGCACAGACACAGGGATCAAGAGGAAACCTGCCTGGTTTTCCAGCTCCTGCTTGAAGGAGGTGCTGCTGGGGAATTAGGCTGTCTTTTGATCACACCAAGGATCAAGGCAGGCATCCTCAGCCTGGTTCCCCACACGGAGCATGAAAAAGAGGATATTCCCTCGCTCCTGCCTCCAGGAGAGTCGCTGCAGGTGAGTCAGGAGAGTCATCCCGAGTTTTAGTAGGAACCACTACAGCTTGGAGCAATGCAGCAGCCAGCCTTCCCAGCCCAGGAATGCCCACCTGGACTGAGCTCTTTAGGGGTTTACGGTGTTCTTCTGGCCCTCAGAGGGAAATACTGGGCATACAGGGTGGGCCTGTGCCAGGGGGATGTTCCTGCTGCTCCTGTTCTCAGCAGGGTAAATGAGGGTAAATAACTGACATTTTCTGCTGTGCTTTGTCCGTGTGTGTTATGGGAGACAATGATCATCATGTTGTTGTGACTCATGACATCATTAAAGAGGGTAATTATCAGACCAATATCAGCAGGAGATGATGCTGCCCAACCCCTCTGACTTTTCTGAGGACAGGCACCATTTAAACCTCTGCTTCTGCTGCACTTATTTCTTCAAAAGAGCATTGCTATTCATGTCTCGATATAGGAAAGAAAACATCTCCAACATCCCCCCAACAACAACAACAACAACTAAAGTCAAGAAGTGAGATGCCCCTTGTTTTCAGGAGTTATCCTGTTCTTCCTGCAGAACAGTTAGAAGGAGAACACCTCTAGAAATGCACCAAAGGGGAACGAAGCTGAGCTTGAGACAGGCACAGGTGCCCAGAGCCCCCCTGGAAAACCCAACAGTGACCCCCCCAGCTCTCTAAACAACTGGGACTGTTCGTTACTGATCCTCTCCAAGGCTCAATTCCCCTCATCTTCAACCCTACCACCATCTCCCACCACTGTTTTTATAAAAGGGGGTGTTTTCTTACACAAGGAGAGCCTGGAGTGACTCAGAGCAGAGCTTTTCTTTTACACCTTGGCTCTGGGACTCTTGGCCACCCAATAACTCACAAGAGGAATGAAACTAAACCACAGCGAGGCCCTCCCAGCTTCACGCAAATAATAATAACAACAACAATAATAATAACGATAATAATAATAGAAAACATGAGAAGGAAACAAACCAAACACCGCACTCAGAAAGAAAAACAAAGCAAAAGATGAGGACGGCAGTTGCACTGGGTTTGGGGATAAGGAAACGAGTGTCCTACCTTTTCAAAAATTCCATGTACTCAGTGTGCTTGATGAGACCGGTCCTCATCATTATCGTTTGGAAACATTGCCGGTCAATAGCCCAGAGTTTCACATTTACCAGAGCTGGAAAGAGAAAACAAACAAGGGGACAGGGGATTAGCAAAGAGAGCTGGAGCTGGCAAATCCCACTGGAACTGGGGAGGGACACGGGGGCAGCACGGACACGGGACACACTCCCACTCCAACATTTCGGGAGGTTTGTAGGGCATTCTGCAGCAAAATCAAGGAAGGATTCATCCTACCCCCAAAGGAGAGCACAGATTCTTCCCTGACTTCAAGGAAATTTGCAGAACCTGGACATTTCCACAACCAAGCCCTGTTCTACCCTAATAATTAACCACCACCCCATTTGGGAGGTTTGGAGGTGTTTCTTCGCCCAGCCTCAGTTTGTCTCTGCTAAATTCCAGCACTTCCATCTAAATGGTCCAGATTTTCATCTGAGATTTTTGCATGAACTACAAATACAGCTTATAACAGTTTCTCCTTAGAGAAACAGTTTAATTAAACAGAACTATTCTCAAGACCTCCACATTTGCATTAATTCAATTTTTTTCAGACAGTAATTGCAATAAATTCCATCCCCTTCTCCCCCTTTCATTACAGGAACGAGCAACGAGCAAACTGACTTTCAGCAAAATATTTACAAATATTCTCACTGATAAAATCCAAGCAATGGATTTGCTTTGATTTGCTGCTCCTTAAGTTCCCAAACCTCCTGGTTAATGAGCTTTTATCCCTAACTCCATTTGCAGGGTGGAAAAACCTTCCAAGTGCAAATTCAAATATTCCCTCTGGAACTGCACAGCAGAACTAAGGGAGAGCATCACAGTCTCTTCTTGTTTTCAAGGCAGAAACTTCTTTTTGAGAACCATTTCTAGTTTTAAAATCAAACTGATAGGGAAATAATGACCTTTGGTATTTGGAGATTTATGTGAAGATTTAGTTTTTCACTCTTCTGAGTGGAAAGGACAATTAAAATGAATAGGATCTCTATTGTTATGGGGCTTTTAACTGTATCCTATAAAATAAGGGGGTTGATGTTCATGTGAGCTCAATCTAAACAGAGACATGAGAAATTATTTTTATTATTCAGCCTGGTGTGTCGGGAATCGCTGAACAGGCTGAGCTCCTGCTGTCCTGGCTGAGGTCACGTCACAAAAACCCCAGTGATGTCCTGGGGAATTCACTGAGAGCAGGAAAATAGGATCTTGTACAGTGGGAGCTCCCACTGAATCCCAGGATCACTGAGGCTGGAAAAGCCCCCCAAGGTCACCCAGAGCCCCCTGTGCCCGATGCCCACCTTGTCCCCAGCCCAGAGCACTGAGTGCCACATCCACACTCCTGGGACACCCCCAGGGCTGGGCACTCCAAACCTCCCTGGGCAGCCCCTGCCAGGGCCTGACCACCCTTTCCAGGAGAAATTCCTGCTGCTGTCCCCCCTGCCCCTCCCCTGGCACAGCTGAGGCCGTTCCCTCTCCTCCTGGCCCTGTCCCCTGGAGCTCCCCCCTGCTGTCAGGGATTGCAGAGCCAGAACGTGCCCCCTGAGCCTCCTTTTCTCCAGGCAGCTCAGGAAAAGTGAAGTGCAGACAATACAGTTGTGTGTTAATCCCAATCACTGCTCCCACTTTACACTCACATCTATCCTGCCTTAATGATAAACAGATGCTTTAATAACGGCTAATCAGGGTGGAGATTTAAATGTCAGGAAGATTCTTATAATCAAGCGTGAGCATCATCTCCTGTCGTGCTTAAAACCCTCTGTCGACGTGTTAGAGGGTTACTGAAGGAACAGAAGGAATCTCTGAGGTTTGATGCTATTAAAGACTTCAAAGTTACCCATTTAAGAGTGGCCTGAGATGAAAAACACATCTCTGGGATGTGTAACACAGAGTCATCCCCACCGTGAAGAACTGAGTGCAGGTGCAGACAGGGGGGACACAGAGATTTTCCGGTCCAACCCCAGATCTTCTGGGAAGCTTCATTTCCTGAGAATATCCTGTTCCCTGGCTGCAGGAACTACAGCCAAAAGGAGCAGGAGAAATACAACCACGGAAAGAGAAGTGTCCATGTCTCTCTGTGAGGGGAACTTTGTTACCCAATAACATCAAATACCACCCTGCAATCCGAGCAGCTCGGCTGGGCTTATCTACAATTCAACTTTATTGCCTCTTCTACACTTTTCATGCTAAGATGCCATAGCTGGGGGGTCTCTTTGTTGGACAGGGATGCCCAGGCTGGGGAGCTCTGTATGGTCTCTGTGTGCAATTTTAGGAGCTCTCCAGCTGAGGGGGTTGGATGATGCTCTGCAAGTCGGCAGGACGCTTGAATTGCACGTTCAGGAAACAGATTTACCTGGCTCTGAACCTCCAAGTGAAAGGGGAGTGGTTCAAGGGCTGAAAACAAAGCAAAATGCTGCTGGAAAAACAGGGAGGAGCAGCGAGAGCCCAAGCAAAGGAGTCAGGGTTCCACGGGGCAGAGATGTTACCATTCCAGTTTAGGTCTGAAGTGCTTGTCATGGTTAAGACTTAACTTCTGCTGCCAAGTTGACTGAAATTACTCCAATCAATCATTCCAGTGAATTCCTTGCACCCCTCTCCACACCCAAATCACTGATTAAAGCAAATAAACGAATTTCAAAATGCTTTCCCAAACCCAAGTTCTTCCAAAGAGATGTTTTCTCCGGGCAGCCCTTGAAAATTGTTCATTATTGAACCTGGCCAGGGTTAAATCCCCCTCATTTCCACTCCTGCCATCGTGTCCCAGCCTGCTGAGGGCCAAAGTTTTGGCTGCTTTGCTCCTGTTCTTCCTTTGGACCCAGTGGCTGCAGGTCCCCAGCCCTGGGGTCAGCTCTGAGCTGCTCCTGCATCCCTGCAGAGGCAGTGAAATGAGGGGGGAACTGGAAAGGCTGAAGTGGAAATATTTACAGGGGAGCCGGGAAGTATTGTTTATGTTATATATATACACACACACACACATATAAATATATACATATATATATACACACACACAGAGGAGGTGAAGCCCGAACATTCAGAGATGCCTTAAATCCTTGGAATGAGGGCAGCCAGAGATCAGTGCCCAGACTATTCCAGATTAAATGCAGTGTTCACCAGGCTCTGCAAACCAACTTTTAGCATTCTCCCAAGTTTTCACTTAGTGCTCAGTGAAGCCTTTCCAGGCTTTTTCAAGGATCACTGGGTGAATCATCCTCAGCTCAAGCACTTGCTGGCAGCATTATCCAACCTCAAACTTATTATTCCCTTGCCCCCCAAGCTGGAATTCGTCACCTCCCTTTTGCTTTTAGGCCATTTTATTCAAGCAATTGTTTGTTTATCCACCTCCAGGCGAAGAAGCAGCAGCATCTTCGTGTCCTGAGGGCCTTTTGGGCAGGCAATAGACAACATTTCCACTCCAATTTAACCCCCTCCCACCTGGGGGCTGGTTCTGCAGCATTACTGTGCCCCTTCCTTCGGGGGGAGCGCAGCCATTGCCAGCTGCTCGTGTTCCATCCTGTTTATGGACTGAAATGAGGATGAACAGCACATTTAACTAAGCAGAGGGAGCACCTGCAGTTCTTTCAGCCCATTCTGGCACCCCACGATACCCCTGCTTTGCACGAGAGATACTCAGTTTAACAGCATTAGAAGGCTCTGACAACACCCATCAGCCTGTGCTAAGGACAATAATCTGATTCAATGAGCAGACACCACGCAGGAGCCCACGACTTTTCATGCCACAAGAGCCAAGGAACCCAAAATCTGCCCCAAAATCCACCTTCACCCCACTCTTTAATGTCCCAACATGCTCTTTCCAAACTAACCCCTCACACAGCCTTTACCACGGCACCCCTTGCTCCTCCTGGCTGCAGACATGGAGCTCTGCTCTCCCTACCTCCCTACAATACAGGGGCTTTTCTGGGTTTCTAATTCATCTTTGTATGAGCACGAGCTCACAGACTACTTCAGAAATCCAAATTATTCCAGAACTGGAGGCTGAAAGCTGAAATGGTCCCTTATAGTTAAGGAAGAAGAAGATGAAAGCCCCAAAAACTCCTTCCAAGTCCTTTTTTGAGCCAGATGGAGAGTGATGCGAGATTAATGGAAAGCCAACAAGGGTCTAATGTGGGTCAGAAGCCTCGAATTAAGTTGCTCAGACAACTGATTTAATGCACTGAGCACAAGAGGGGTTGAGGTAAAATGTCTCCAACTATTTGAGGAAGGAAAAGGAGAAAACAAGCCAAATGTCTCAGCCTGGCACACATCAGCTCCCCAGGCAAGATCACAGGAGCAGCACCAAGAGAGAGGAAGGAGGAAAGTAAAATATTCCATTTAAAAGAGACACATCAGTTCTGGCTCCTTGCCTAAAAGAGCCCCAAACCCGAGGAAAATTAATATCCCCAATGAAAGGAGGTGTCTGAACAACTAATAAACCCTTAACAAACCCTTAATAAAGGGGTGAGGCAGCTCAGGGACACTCAGGTTTTGTCTCCCACTGAGCTCTGCAACACAACTCCACACCAGAAAGACCCAAACCCAGTTTCTCAAGAGCTGCTCCCAAAGTAACAAACCATTGTTTTACAACTGCCTCTTTCCAGCTCCAGGAGCTGCCTGACAATTGAAGCTCCAAAAGTACTTCCCGTGGCCAACCTGCAGCTTACTGGAGCAGAGAGAGCAGCAGGGGCCGTGAGGAAATGCATTTGCACAGCCAGACACCCTCATTTGTAATCCTGCACCACGGGACACTTGAATTCACCTTCCCTGCAGGGAGGAAAGCGCCAGATCCGCCTTCAGTGGGCACAACTGATGGACCAGGGACACCTTTCCAGCCAGGTGCCTCTTGCTGATGGAAAAGGCTAATTACAGTGGCTCTTGGAATACAGGAGAGCATGGACAACAAGAAGAAGGAGCAGAAGTGGAAGAATCAGAAGCAGCAGGAGAGGCAGAAAAAGGAGCAGAAGAAGAGAAGAAGAAGGAGAAGACACAAAAAAAGAAGTAGTAGAAGAAGCAGAAGAGGCAGAAGCAGGAGGAGAAAAAACAGAAGCAGAAGAAAAAGCAGCAGGAGAA